TCACTTTTAAAAAATAAAATTACACATTATTTAAAAAAATAAAATTACTTTCCAAAAAGTAAAATTATATCACTTTTAAAAAAATAAAATTATATAGTATCTTCAACAAATAAAATTACATATCACTTTTAAAAAAATAAAATTATGTAGTATCTTCAACAAATAAAATTACATATCACTTCTAAAAAAACAAAATTACACATTATTTTTTAAAAAAAATTAAAATCACATATAAATTTTTTAAATATAAAACTATATATTATCTTTTTAAAAAAATAAAATTCCACAATATACTCAAAAAATAAAATAATAACTATACACAAAACATCACAATATCTATAATTAATTTGATTTGATATAATTAATTTGGAAAAATAATATATATATAAATATATATTATACTTCTTCCGTCCGACTCTAAGGGTTTCATTTACCTTTTGCGTCATTATAATTAATATTGAAAATATCATTATATTTGTATAATTTTTTTGCACAAATATCATTATAATAGTATTATAAGACACTAATAGAAGTATTTTTGCTATTTTTCCTTGATTTTTACTATATTTTTATATAATAATTAATATTCAAATATCAACACGCAAAAAGTAAATGAGACTCTTAGAGCTGAACGAGTCAGTATTTTATATTATGTATATATTTTTTAATATCAAATATCAACATTTTAAATTAAATTAAATTAAATTATTTAACTCTATTACAACGGTAATGAAGGAGTTATTGTCAATCGGTGTAGGCATAAATGTTTCGAGTAGAGAGAAGGGGCTCAAGTCATCTTAGTAGCCATAAGTAGAACATAAATTTCGATGAAAGTAGCCAAGTGTTATCATAAGTAAGAGTAATCGGGTTTAATTCACTTGATTCATTTTTTTTTTCATTTTTGTCGTATCACAATCAGTATTCCACCAATTTATTATTTTTTATAATTACTAAATTTTTTATTCAACCCACAATCACATCATATCATATGGACCCCACTATTCATACTCGGGTCTGTTTACTTGTGTGAGTTTAGAATGATTTTACTATTTTAATTCTTTTGCTAAAATAACATTGAATCGGAAACATATTTTTATTTATTATATTACATTAAAATTGAATTTTGTATTCAAAATATTATATCAATATATATTTATATCATATTAATAACTATTTCTATTCAAAAATTTATTATTCAAAAACAAAACTCAAAACTAAAATCTCACAAGTAACATACTTATTTTTATCATTTTAAAATGTATATTATTTTTATTTTTTTATATTATTAGTTAATTAAATACTATTATAATCTTTTATATTTTTTATTTTTATAATATAATAAAATTTAAAATATCTAAAATGTTTTATATATTTTATTTTATATGTGTTGTGATAGCATATTTTGTGGACTGGGATCAATTGTACGTGTTAGTATATACTGCCTTACAAACTAGAAGAATTGGTTAAGCCCGTGTCACTAACATAACTAATTTATTTAGAAGTTAATAAAATTAAATATTTATTGATGATCGAATTCAAAATTCATTCCTAGACTAGAAGTTCATAATCATTGTCGAATTTTTCATAGATTTTTAAGTTTTAATTGTGAAAGTAGATTTATTGTATATAATTTTACAACATATGACGAACGCTGTCAAAGTTTGTTCTTCGGTCTATACCTCACTTATATGTTGTGGTTTTATAATGTGTAAAATGACCGTTAGATATGATGATAGATTGATGGTCAGTGACACTAAGGGTGTGTTTGTTTGAGGGTTTGGATTTTGAGTTGAGATTTGAATAGTAAAAATTTTGAATTTGAATAGTTGTATGATGTGATATAAATAAGTGTTGATGTGATGTTTTGAATATAAAATTGATTTTTAGCATTATATAAAAAATGAAAAATAGGTGTTTGATTTGATGTTTTTGGGGGAAAAAAATAGGATGAATAGTAGAATGCCAAATCAATCCCTCAAACAAACACACCCTTAAGTATATCCAAATGTGGGTGATCAAATTGAATTGAAATTGTAAAATCAAAGGCTTTATTTACACAACCATATTTGAGGCACTATTTATTTTTTAAAAAATATGACATTAAATATATTTTTTCTCTCATAAAATATCAAATCAAAGTTAGAGTTTCCGTCCACAACATCTTGTTCACCGTCTCTGCAAATGGCCGAATTGTGTGTATGGGACACCGCACAACGTCGAACCGTCGCATCTTCGTGGGCGCACAGCCGCTCACGGCATCACCGCCGTCGCGGCTGCCAGCCTGTCTCGAAATCCAATCACTACCATCAAAACGAATTCCTACAACTTCTGCAAATTCTCATTATTAACCGATCCGACGGCAAGAATTCCCAAAAGTAAAGACGGAGACGTCGAGAGCTACTATGTAGCTGCAGCAGGGGAAGATATTTTGTCGGTCGAAAAACACCGAAAAGCTTTTGACATTACTGTTGGAAAATATATTTGGCGAAATCTGAGATGCGGCGAAATTCGAAAATAAAAATCACATAGATGCGAAATCAAATTCGAGCCTCGCGTAGCACGCAATTTCCTTGAAGCGAATTCGGCCCTCCACCGATCGCCTCCCATGATAGAACGAATTGTGAACGGGATAACAGATTCCGCAAACCGAATTAGAATAGAAGAAAAATTTTCAAAATGAATTTTTGGAATTGATATTCCGTCTTCCATATAAAAAAGGGGAGGAAAATATAATATATATATTATATTTTTTCAACTTATTTTGTATTTAATCACGTGTAGAGAAAAAATTGTCCGCGTTCTACCGTTGCATTCAGTTGCAATAAATTATTTATTTGATTATTTATTTATTTATTTTTCAAATAAAATAAATTAATCAAATAAAATGTGGGACAAATAATTTATTTCTCTTTTACCTATTTAATTAAATACCCAAAAATTACTTCATCCGTCGTCGAGGTTTACGGACACAAGGGAAAGGAATGTGCATGTCGATCCGGGGCTTTTACACCTCGCGAGTCAAATGGGTATGCGAATATTTTGTCGGGAGATACGAAGATGGGTCCATGGCTTGGTGGGATGTGAGGAATCCGGGATTGCCGTTGACGTCGGTGAAATTCCACGCCGAACCCATTCTAAGTGTGAGCGTCGAGAGTGTTTGCCGAGGAGGCGTATCGGGATTTGCCGACAATAAAATGGCGATGTTCGCGATGGATCCGTTGGGGGGTGTGTGGGGGGTAAAAGAGGAAATTGCGGTGGAGAGGGCCGGGATTTCGGGGACGGCAATTCGTCCGGATGGTCGGATTTTGACTGTGGCATGGTGGGAACTTTATCCTCCTAAAGATTAGAGCGGCAGTTACAGCGCTGAATTTAAAATTCAATACTGTGTTGAACAGGACATTATGTATTATTAGACAATACATAATATTACTACAAACAGCACATTGTATATGTTAATATAATTTAAATATCATAGGAGGAAGATTATACGAGCATGCTATTACAATTAGGGTTGTAAATTAGTTAAATCAAACTGAGCAATATTTGATTCCATTTGTGGAAATATTAGACTATTCGATTTGTTTTGAATCTTAAAATGATATTTATATTCGATTAGAAATAGTTATCAAATTATTCAAATCAATTTTAATATTATTCAAATATTTGATTCAAGATTTAATTCATTATTGGATTCAAAGATATTATATTTGAATTTTTTAATTAAAAATTTTAACAATAATACTCCATTGGTTCGTCTATAAGGATCGCATTTATTTTTTTGTTTCATTTTACTTAATATTAAAAATATTTTTATGTATAATTTTTATACAAATGTCATTTTATTAATATTATAAGATACTAAAACAAGTAATTTTGTAAATTTTCCTATTTGTACTACATTTTGATATAATAATTAATATTCAAATATCAACACACAAAAAATTAATAAGACCCTTATAACCGGACGGAGATAGTATTAATATAACTTAATAAAAAAATATATATTTTAACATAAATAAAAATATCATGATATAGTTGTAGTTTTAATTATATTATATATTTATTTATACAAAACTATAAAAGTATTATTAGTAATAAATTTAATTTGATTTATTTATTTTGGGAAATATATATGTATAACATATTTTATACTTTATATATATTTTTATTATCAAATTGAATATTTACGAATATCAAAACTTCATATTTATATTTGATTAATATTGATTAGTATTCAAATCATATCGAATATTTTTATTCCAATATGAATATTGAATTTCCAAATCTAATATAAAATCGAACAAAACTATTTAATTTTATTTTACAATCCTAATTACAATTAAATACATACACTTTAGGGTGTGTTGTGTTGTGGGATTCTATCCCAAAATTACTATTCATCAAATTTTTTTCATCCAAAAATATAATCAAACATTTATTTTCTATTTTTTATATTATATTAAAAATCAATTTTACATTCAAAACATCGCATCAATACCTATTTGTATCATATCATACCACTATTTCAATTCAAAATTTTTACTATTCAAATCTTTAACTCAAAATCCAAACCCCCCGAACAAACACACCCTGAACAATACAATAAGGAGTTAAGAAAGCCCAAATGAACCAACTCGACCCAATACGCATGAGGCCCAAGTTCGAGGCCGGTACGTTGCATCCTAGCCAAAAAGAAATTAGTTCCACCTTTTTTTTATTTTTTATTATTATTTTTTTCTAATAACATGGGAACCCATAGTCGTTAGGATGCTCTGAATAAATTTTCGGTTAAAACTAATAGCCAGTAAATTAGACCCGACAAGAAAGTTACACTAGACAAACCATGTATGGCAAGCAAGACCTGGAGACGTTGGTGTTTGAACCCATAATCTTAAGGTAACAAGTTCTATCTCTATACAGAATTCATATAATATTATAACCTATCAAATTTAAAAAAAAAAAAAAAAAGAAAAAAAAATTCAAAACTTCCAGAAAAATTAACATTAAACAACACGAGTTCTACAAAGCGGACAGGTACATTTCACGACTAGCCATGTCTCGACGCAAACAATATGATATCTATGCCCGCATTCCTTAATCGCTGCTAAAGGTTCGCTATCCTCGTACTCATCAAGGCATATGATGCAATGACCATCTTCCGATTCCGAATCTTTTGAAACATATTTATCCAAAACTAATATTTGATTGTCCCAAAACGATTCCAACCTTTTCGACAAGTCAATAGTACGATGATGATGATCCGGAACCACATCAATGATTGTCTCCGCCACTCGACTATCATGAACCTGGCTCTCGTTGTTGCGTATCCTTAGTAAAAATTGCAACCAAATTACAATTATGATACACAATGATGAGAAGCCCTTCGCCGATCAAACTAACATCGTAAGCATTCATGTTGCTCGATTGTGTTCTAAGAAATTAAATATTTTTGAAATAGAAAAAGAAAAGAAAAGAAACGAAAAAGAAAAAGAAAATTTTATTCATGTGTTTAGTACAGTAGATTGGTCGATGGAGCAATTTATACAAACAAACTTAAGGGAAAAGAAGTTAGAAATCTATACATTAAATAAAAATCTAATCTAATACTTTCTTCATCCCAAAAGTATAGTCTTAGGGTGTGTTCGTTTGTAGAATTTTGTCAAAATTTTACTATTCATCCAAAATTTTCCCCCAAAAAACATCAAATCAAACATCTATTTTTTATTTTTTACATTATACTAAAAATCAATTTTACATTCATAACATCACATCAACACCTATTTATATCACATCATACTACTATTCAAATTCAAAATTTTTACTATTCAAATTCCAATCCAAAATCCAAATCCTCAAACAAACACACTCTTATTGTGTTGGACACTGAGATTTAAGGAATATTGATATTATATGGGTAGTTGGTAAAAAGTAAAGATAAATGACTTTTTTGCCCTTGTGAGTGTATTAATGTAAAAAGTAGTGGCAATTGTGTAATAATAATGAAAAAATAGGGATAATTTTATGGTGATATGGTTATTTATGGAAATGAGACTATTATTTTGAAACGGACAAAAATAGTAAACAAGACTATTGTATTGGGACGAAAGAAAAGGAGTAATTTATACATCTACACTGGATTTTCGGAATCCTGAGATTTGTTTGTTGAAATTTGGAGTTTTGTTTGGATTATGGAGGAATTTTCTGTTTGATCAGTTTTGGGATATGAGATGTAATTAATTAAAAATAAATTATCTTTTTTTATAAAATAGTAAATCATAAATTATAAATTAGATATCATCTCATAAATATTTTTAATTACGAATTATAAATTATATATCATCTCATTGGAAATATATATATATATATACAATAATAATAATAATTAGTATTACACTCATGCGAGGCATAATTGTATTTATATATTCTATATATTTTATTACTATAAAATAAACTTAAATATTATAATTATTTGAATTTTTTTTTTTATGATAAATTGATATTTTAGTCTTGTAACTTGAATATGTAGCAAATTAGTCCCGTAAGTAAAAAAAAAAAAATTGTATTTTTAGTCCTCCAACATCAGAGATGCCTATGTTGTGTGGCACCCGTATAACTCGCCGGAAGACACATGTTTCACTACTAACAAAAAAAAAAAGTTAATAATTACTTAAATTTATCGCAAATTTTAATTCGCAACAATTAAAAGTTACGGAGAGTAATTTCGTGAGAAATTTATGTCATGCAGAAAAAGTTACAAATAACTTTTCGTGACTATCTAAAGTAATTGTTTATGTAACGAAAATATTCAAAATATTTTTATTATATGTCTTGACTATTTTTTCACATAAATTGTCACAAATTCTTTTCGTGACTATTTTAAATTACGGCAAAAATAACCAAAATTCTGATAACATTTTAAATTATTACAGATATTGTCATGGTATAATTTTTATGATTTTTTAAATCAAAAGTCACGACATAAGTAACGAAAGCAACCGTAATTTTTTTTTATTATCGCTTGTAATTATTTAAAGTAATAACAAAATTATAGAATCATCTTCAATATCTTTATTTTTTTTAGTTGATTGAATTTTTTTTTTTAACTATTCATGACTATTTAAAATCATGATATAAATACCGAAATATTAACAAAATCTTAATTCTATATATATCTTTATAAAAAATTATAGCTATTTATGGTTATATTATAAATAGTTTTATTTAATTTAATTAATAAATATTAATTTAATTTATTACAAATATTAAGGTAACTAAATATTTAACTATTTATGTATTAACTTCAAAATTTTATATAAAATATTTTTAAAAAATTGATTGAGTTTAAAAAATAAAAATCATTGATTGATTGATTCACAATATAAGAAATTTAAGAAGTCTTTGGCACTATATTATACTATTATTATTATTGTACCTTACTGTTTACATATTTTTCTAGTTCCGATTATTTCTTATTTAGTTAGTAGATTTTAGTTAATTTTTTTTAAAAAAAAAAAAAAAAAAAAAAAATTGATAATTCTACTATTATTTAAATTTAGAAAGAAAAAAAAATATTAATGGGTAAACATATCAATTTTGTATTAAACTAGTTAATAGGTCAATTTATCAAGTCATTTTGACCTACTTAAAAATTATTAAACTGATTAACAAGTTAATTTCGTATTGATTTGGTTTAAATGGGTCAAGCCCGTGTCTGGTGTTCTGACTTTTTTACATAAATGGGTCGATTGGGTTGGCCTATATAACCTGTTTAAAAATTCGACCCTACCCGAGTGACCCATTGCAAGCTCTAGGTGCGAACATGCACATTGGATTCTCAAAATACTTTTAATTTTTTTTTATATTACAAATATATCATTAGATTTACGTCTCATTAACTAATAAAATATTATTATTTTTTTATTTACTGTAAAATTTACTATAATATTATTATTTTTTAAGTTACTGTAAAATTTACTATAAAACCTCAAATGAGGTTATTATATTTGTATTACTATGATATAATAAGCCAAAGAGTGTTGGAATATAATAATATTTTAAATGAAATATTTCTTTTTAGAGTAAAAATCATTTTTGTCCCATTCAATATCATAATTATCAATTTTGGTCCCATTCAAAAAAAATTATCAATTTTGGTCTCACTCAAATGAAAATTTATCAATTTTAGTCCCAAGAGTTACTGGGATTGAACACGGTCGTGTTAGCTTGAACACGGTCGTGTTGGATGACTCAGAAGGTGACTGGGCGTCCCAGGCAGCCAATACGGCCGTGTTAGTCTCAACACCGCCGTGTTGATTATCCTGCGCTTCTGAACACGGCCGTTTTCCTGTCCATATTGCTGCCCGTGTTCTGAACACAGTCATGTTTCTCTCAACACAGCCATGTTCTATGTTCTGCCCATGTTCATGTCCATGGTCGTGAACATGGCTTAGAACATGGCTGTGTTGAGAATATGGGCAAGAACATGACCTAGAACATGGCTGTGTTGAAAACATGGACACGAACATGGCCTAAAACATGGCTGTGTTGAGAACATGAACATGAACATGGACAGGAATATGGTTGTGTTCAAGACACGGACAGAAACATGACTGTGTTCAGAAAACGGGCAGCAACACGACCGTGTTCAGAAGCGCAGGGTAATCAACACAGCTGTGTTGGCTGCCTGGGACGCCCAGTCATCTTCTTAGTCATCCAACACGGCCATTGTTCAGTCCAGTCAACCATTTTGGGACTAAAATTGATAAATTTTCATTTGAATTGGACCAAAATTGATAATTTTTTTTTAATGAGACCAAAATTGATAATTATGATATTGAATGAGACCAAAAATGATTTTTTTTTATTTTTTTTTTTTATGAACAATACAACTGAAAACAAAAATAAATAAAGCCACATCAACTTCATAATAATAGCTCAAAATTAGTAGAGGCATGAATCATGTTCATTAAGGGCACCTCCATTCAAACTAAAAACATAAATCAAATCGAAAGGATATCAAATAGAAGCCAAAATCATTATATGATAAAGATGTATAGATATAATCATATATATATATATATCTATGAAAATGATGAATTGATTTAGAAATCTTTTTCCTAATTTTGCTAACCTGAAGCAGCTTCTTTAAGACAAGATCTCATGATCTTCTCCAGCTTCGAACAAGCGTCGAGGCATAACTGCATAGCCTGCATTCGACATATACAATAGCATCCTAAAGTATCGAATATTTGTCTGAATCTGTCTGCATTGTAAAAAACTAAGTCGAATATATTTCTCACCTCATGTATCTTTGGTGTCGACCATTCACCTGTGATTGTCATTTGCGTAACCTCATTACGCGAGGGCATGCTCGTAATCATCAGGCTACCGTCTTGGCAGCTTTCTTCTTCGGACAGTGGATCAATGAGAAGACTCTTCCTGAGACACGACTGTGCAGAGAATACAAAGACATGATACGAGGCACTTTCAGAAAATCCAGTTAAGACAAAACTGAATCGCAGCACCGAAGATGGAGTGTAAGAATTCGAAGCGCACCACTGAAACTGAGGCAACAATGTCGTACATCATGATGCCTGCATCGGCTAGAGCAAGACTGGCACATGTTGTAACTACTGGAAGATCGCCTGCAGCATTAATAATATTTTTTGGAAGAATGCCGGGAAATGGTAGAAAATTTCTTGCGGCAAGTAACATTATAACCAAGCTTTGATAAATACCGAATACTTTAGACCAAATGCATTAATAATAACATAAACACAAAGGGCCACATTAAAGGTCTCGATATATTTTGCTAATTACGAAGATCATTCAGTGAAAAATGAATCCAAGTCGTGAGGAAGAGAATTGATAAAGAACTTGATGCATGCTTCATTTGTATATTTGTGAATTATGAGTGAGAAAGTCGTAGGGTGTGTTCTTTTGAGGATTTTTACCCAAGATTTTACTATTCATCAAAAAAATTTTCCTCCAAAAATATCAAATCAAACACTTATGTTTACTTGTAAGATTTTACCGCTGATTTTACTATTCCAACTTAAAAATTTTCCTCCAAAAATATCAAATCAAACACTTATGTTTACTTGTAAGATTTTACCGCTGATTTTACTATTCCAACTTTCTTTTCCCTCCACAAACATCAAATCAGACACCCAATTTTTATTTATTTTATTACACTAAAATCTAATTTTACATTCAAAATATCACATCAACACACACATATATATATATATATCACATTAATAATAACATAAACACCCGTAGTTTCTCAAACAAAAGGTTAAAATTATACTTACTTCCTCCCGATTCCAACACCAAAGCAAAGACATCTACGGTTGTTTTGGGAAATGATTCCAGTATAATAGCACCCTCAAGCGCTTTATGGAGCATAGAGGAAAGATCCTTAGTGTCTGGACTCTGGGAAACAAGCATCATTGCAATCAGGTACAAGAGCATAGCATGGAGTAAGATCGGGAAAAGTAAAACAAATAGGTAAAAAGAATAAAAAATGGGAATCAGATTAACCTGAGCGCGGGAAGGGGTACCGAAATTTGTATAGCTGACATTACAATTCAATCGCCCTTTGTCACTATACATCACCGCTTTCTTACTTTCTCGGGGTCCAAACCTTTACACAAAAAAATTGATGAATAAAAACTTTCATATGGTGCAGTATACAAGAATATTCAAAAAATTTGTGAAAATAAAAGCTCAAGAATACCAAATTCGTTATTTCAGAATAAGAAGACACATCTGCCTTTCAAAATGAGGACATTCGAATATTGCTACTATCACTCAAACTTCAAATGTAAATAGTGGCTCTAGTTACATACACGTTTAGAAGTTTTACACTATTCATCAACCGTAGTCTTTTCAAAAAACATCGCATCAAATAATTGTTTCCAATCGATATACTTACACAGACACAATGACCTTAGTATTTCCAAACTCAGCATAAGCAGAACCTGAGGCAGAAGTCACTGCTCCTGTCCTTACAACTGCAAGATTGCAACAAAAAACATAAGTTTAACACTCATATCTGGTTAATCCTAAACTCATCTCAATTAACTAAAATATGATTGGTTAAGGGTATTGTGGAAGATTGTTATCAACAAAGTCTAAATCTCACAGAATCACAACATTTCCCTTTCACAAACAACTGCTTAAGGTGGATGTGGAATACTCTCAGGTTCAGAAGGCCCGTTATTAGGAAAGATTATATTTATCGTTTCTTGAATAAAAGCATCGAGCAATTTTATGAAACGGCTTATAGATTCATTGGTAATGGCACCATAATTAGCTTATGACTGCCAATATGTTGCCTTTGGCTACCATAATCAGCTCCAACAGTGGTGGTGATATACATTTACCATACAAACTGAAAAAATCATCGGAAGGATGTGAGATGAATTCTCCTAGTTTCTATAATACATTATCATACGTAAAACAAAACTAAAATACAATATCTCACTTATCCTCCATAATAAAATTAATTTCTTATTCAAATAATGCCACAGAATCATTGTTAAAAGATCTCAAAACTAAGGAAAATTGAATAGCAAAAATGGGAAAAGAAAACACAAATGTACACACCCTAAACTTCAAGAAATTGCTATCTTTATGCATCATTGAAACACTCTTGAACAAAAGCAGAAAATGAAAAAAAAAAAAAAAAAAAAAGACCATTACTTTCAATAAGCTACTACGACTATGCAAAAAAACTTACTGCCATTTGCACCCCTGTGTGCTTGTCTTGTTCCCCAAAAATTTAACTAAATGTTAAGAATGTTAAAGATACTAAGCATTTATAGTGGCCTACAGATGCACTAATAAAGATACATTTTCAAGTTCCACCAGAACCACTAATTAACAAAGATCACACACAATCATCAATCAGCATCTATATAATCCTCAGTCCATGCAAGTGAACAAGAAAACCCCCACAACATAATTGTCAACAGTCTAAATCGAAATCTAAATAAACTGAGTGATAATTGGCAAGTACAGTGGAACAAAAAAAAAAGGAAAAATCAAGCTGAATAGCTATACATCAGCCGCATAAACATGTATATATCCCCACCCCCCACAATAACAAAGGATGGTGTACATACACGCAGGACGGCATTGGTGGTGGTTGCGGCCATCTGGTCGGACCCAATCAGAATCTGTCAGAATAGGTCTCTTCACCTTCTGACCAGTCAGCAAAGGAGAGTATGTGGTTGGCCCCGAGCTTGGTTTTCCAGCCATTGCTCTACTTTATTTGTTTCTACAATGAAAGCTTTTGGCGGCACCAAGACCTGCTCAATGTCTTGAAATCATAACCAGCAGCAGATGGCTCAGAAAAAAAGTGAAAAGCATAATAATACATGCACAAATAGCAAATTACTCTGTCACAAAGCATGGTGCATATTACATGGATAGATAAAATTTATATTGCAAAAACTTCAAACATATAAACTATTGGAAATGCTAATAACATGTGTTAATTAACATCTAACTCCCATATTTAGCAAACACAAACCCATAAGAAATCTATGAACAATTTCTAGGAGCATCTTTCACTAAAATAGAGAAAGTTTTCAATATCGAGGCGTTAACACAGAAGGGACATATGAGATTAGAGCATTGATATACAAACCAAAAGTATTGGCATATATTGTTGACACTGATCTTCATTTCTAACAAAGAAAGAAAGACTAATCTGCAATTTTTGTTTCCACTCTAAGATTTTATAATAAGGACTTCAGATTACATCCACATAAGCATCAAATCAACAAGAAGATAAATAAACAACAGTTAATCTTAGGTTATTAAAATAGAAAGCTCAACCACAGGCTAAGAGCACCTAAAATTTCAAATGGCAGCGCACAGAGGAAACATACATGAAAGATCAAATAAAACACCTCAAAACGCACCGAGTAAAAGAGCCTGAACAAAGATATATACCTGCTGAATCTATCGACGTTAGCCAGAAATGAATAGTCGAAGGATAACCGAAGATAGTCGATACCAACTTCAAAATGAAGGAATACTGCCCGAAAAGAGAATCACGCTGTGTTTCTTTATGGTTGCGAACAGGTCCCGCACTGTGCGAGTCCTGTAGCAATGTGTGAAGGCGGGAAACCACACCTCTTCCCCGACAATCTTATCCTACTCCATCATGTGCAGAGCAGCCCTGCAAAATCAAGAAAAAGGTTCCTAACTGTACTTGAGCACAGCAGAAAAGCTCTCCGTTTAGAGTGTCGACATCGAAATTAGGGTCGATTAAGGAGCGAAAAGAAGCTCACATTGAGAGAGGCGGCGTTGTGAGTCCACAGCTTGCTCTTGTAGGGGTCCCGGTGCTTCCCAAGTTGACGTCGTAGCCTCGCGATGAATGGGAACGGGTTTTAGAGGGAATTGGGGTGTTGCAGGTGAGTAATTTCTGTAATAGAGGAGTCAAGGGCAGCGGGGAGGAGGACGGAACTGGAACGACGGCGGCGGCGGCGGCGGCGGAGCCTAAGCTTTAAGGAAAGAGTGGGGGTTCGAGTTAACGTCGGCAGCAGACGATGGACCAAGGCGAAGTCGACGGCTGGGATTTGGGATTAGGGCTTCATTATTTAAAATGTTTACGTTATAATTTTATTTTAAACTATTTTTATAAATAAATAAATTTATAAAAATATTTAATTGAATTTATTTTATTGACATTAAATTGACCGTTAAATTTTAAAAGGATAAATTACATGACTATAATTTGTATAGTATTTTAGTTAAAATGTACAAAAATATATGTATTTTGCTTATTTTTTATTCTAAATAAAAATTTAAATTATCAAATTTTATACTGACAAAAACATAAAATATGTTAAATAATTTTATTGAGTAAAACAAATGAATAAATAATTATTTATAATTTTTTGAAAACAAATTATTATCTTATTTTTACAAAAATTATATAAATAAATAATTAATCAATTATTTATTTATTTATTTTATTTAATAAAATAAATTAAGATATTGAGCAAAAACTATTTTTGATTTTATTCAATATCATAATTATCAATTTTGGTTCTATTCAAAAAATTTAATCAATTTTGTCTCATTCAAATGAAAATTTATCAATTTTAGTCCTAAAATGGTTGACTGACACTGAACACGGCCGTATTGGATGACTCAGAAGGTGACTGGGCGTCCAAGGCAATCAATACAGCCATGTTGATTACCTTACACTTCTGAACACGGTTGTGTTCTTGCCCGTGTTTTGAATACAACCATGTTTATGTCAATGTTCTCAACACAACCATGTTTTAGACTATACTCACGACCCTATTCTCAACAAAGTCATGTTAAAAATATATATTATGATGATTATTAAAAATATATATTAATATTTATTATCTTTATATATCTTTTTGCAATTATTTTTTAAAAATATTAAAATTTGATTATTTTTATATTATAAAATAATTGTAAAAATATTTTTGTTGAATTATAAATATATATGAAATAATTTTAACCAAGAAGTTAAAATAATAATAAACATTACCTACAATATGTTATATTGAAAACATGGTCCTGAACATAGCCTAAAACATGGTTTTGTTGAGAATATAGGCAGGAACACGGCCGTGTTCAGATGACATGGTAATCAACATTACCGTATTGAGCCCAACACGGCTGTGTTGATTGTCTCGGACGCTCAGTAACCTTCTGAATCATCCAACACGGTTATTAAAAATATATATTAATATTTATATCTATATATATTATGATTATTATTAAAAATATATATTAATATTTATTATCTTTATATTTTTTTTTTGCAATTATATTTTTTAAATATTAAAAATTGATTATTTTTATATTATGAAATAATTGTAAAAAATTTTTTTGTCGAATTATAAATATATATGAAATAATTTTAACCAATAAGTTAAAATAATAATAAACATTACCTACAATATGTTATATTGAAAACATGGTCGTGAACATAGCCTAAAACATGGTTTTGTTGAGAATATGGGCAGGAACACGGCCGTGTTCAGATGACATGGAAATCAACATTACCGTGTTGAGCCCAATACGGCTGTGTTGATTGTCTCGGACGCCCAGTCACCTTCTGAGTCATCCAACACGGTTATTAAAAATATATATTAATATTTTTATATATATATTATGATGATTATTAAAAATATATATTAATATTTATTATCTTTATATTTTTTTTGCAATTATTTTTTTAAAATATTAAAAATTAATTATTTTTATATTATGAAATAATTGTAAAAAATATTTTTGTTGAATTATAAATATATATGAAATAATTTTAACCAATAAGTTAAAATAATACTCCCTCCCTCCAATATACCATGTCCACGTTGCCGTTTCTGTCCGTCCCACATACCATGTCACTTTCCTTTTTTGAAAAATGATTACACACTTTAATCTCATTTTAAATTTTTTAATTTTAATTAAACTAATTAGTTATCTTAATCTTAATTTATAATTATTTATATTATAGGATAATTATTTTCACTAGTACATTCTTAATTATCTACTAATTACATCCCTTCTAAAATACCGTGTCTACAGTGTAGCAAACACGGTATCTGGGACGGAGGGAGTAATAAACATTACCTGCAATATGTTATATTGAAAATATGATCGTGAACATAGCCTAAAACATTACTTTTGTTGAGAACATGGGCAGGAACACGGCCGTGTTCAGATAACATGGTAATCAACATTATCGTGTTGAGCCCAACACGGCTGTGTTGATTATCTCGGACTCCCAGTCACCTTATGAGTCATCAACACGGTTATTAAAAATATATATTAATATTTATATCTATATATATTATGATTATTATTAAAAATATATATTAATATTTATTATCTTTATATATTTTTTTTTGCAATTATATTTTTTAAATATTAAAAATTGATTATTTTTATATTATGAAATAATTGTAAAAAATTTTTTTGTCGAATTATAAATATATATGAAATAATTTTAACCAATAAGTTAAAATAATAATAAACATTACCTACAATATGTTATATTGAAAACATGGTCGTGAACATAGCCTAAAACATGGTTTTGTTGAGAATATGGGCAGGAACACGGCCGTGTTCAGATGACATGGAAATCAACATTACCGTGTTGAGCCCAATACGGCTGTGTTTGTCTCGGACGCCCAGTCACCTTCTGAGTCATCCAACACTGTTATTAAAAATATATATTAATATTTTTATATATATATTATGATGATTATTAAAAATATATATTAATATTTATTATCTTTATATTTTTTTTGCAATTATTTTTTTAAAATATTAAAAATTAATTATTTTTATATTATGAAATTATTGTAAAAAATATTTTTGTTGAATTATAAATATATATGAAATAATTTTAACCAATAAGTTAAAATAATACTCCCTCTGTCTCAGATACCATGTCCACATTGCCGTTTATGTCCGTTCCACATACCATGTCACTTTCATTTTTTTGGAAAATGATTACACACTTTAGTCTCATTTTAAATTTTTTAATTTTTTTTTAATTTGAATTAAACTAATTAGTTATCTTAATCTTAATTTATAATTATTTATATTATAGGATAATTATTTTTAATAATATATTCTTAATTATCTACTGATTACACCCCTCCTAAAACATGGCTTTGTTGAGAATATGGGCAGGAACACGGCCGTGTTCAGATGACATGGTAATCAACATTACCGTGTTGAGCCCAACACGGCTGTGTTGGCTGCCTCGGACGCCCAGTCACCTTCTGAGTCATCTAACACGACCGTGTTCAAGCTAACAAGGTCGTGTTCAGTCCCAATCAACCATCTTGGGATTAAAATTTATAAGTTTTCATTTGAGTTAGACCAAAATTGATAATTATGATATTAGATAAGACCAAAAATGATTTTTGCTCTAAGATATTTTATATTTTATATTTGTATAAAATTTGCGTAATTTAAGTTTTTATTTAGAACCAAACATCAATTTTAAACAACTAAGGTGTTTCGTAATTTTACATTAACACAATAGTTCACGCAATAAATAAAACCCAAAAACAATATAGTTTTATAGAATTTACCCATTTTAAAATCTCTCATTGTATTTTTCTTATTAAATTTCTAAAAATAATTCAATTTCACGTTATTCTCTATTAAGCCTGATTAAATTGGATAAATGGTATAGTTTTTTTTATAAAATGCATACTTTTTTATTGTATGAAATTTTTGATTAAATTAAAATATGTATGAAACATAATTGTAAACACGTATTTATGTAAATTTTATACAAATATAAAAAGATATCTTAAATAATCTTATTGAAATAAATAAATAGTCTTATTTATTTTATAATTTTTTATAAATATTAAGTAACCGTACATAAATTATACTTGCAAAATTACTTTTGTACCTTTTTTAAAATTTTTATTTATTATAAATATTTATTATTTTTATATTATACACCACTAAATCATTTCTACATGCTACTCCTGTTTATTAGATGACCCATTTTCCTTTTTTTTATAGTCTCACAAAAGATGACTTCTTTCTATTTTTATAATTTTATCAATCTTAAACATACTTAACAAATATAAATTAATTTAATTAAACTTCTAACATCTTACACTTAGATCACTCGAAACCCCTTTATTTCTATATCTCTCCTCAATTAACATAATTTTTTATCTATATTTAAAACTCCTCATTTTTTATAAAACTAGTCTATGGTAATGATAAATAAATAAAAATATTTGTATTATATAAAATTTTATTATCTACAAAATGATATTCATATTGTATATATTTTTTGGAGATATAATATTAAAAAATTTTAAAATACCAATAATATTATTCATATAAAAAACAATAAACTAATATCATAACTTATTATTAATAACTTACTAATTTCACAACCTAAAAATTTGCACAAAAATAAGATGATCTATTTACAAATTAATAAAAAATTGTGTATTTTCATCCTCTCACATCGGCTACATTAATATGGATTCAATTTTTTAGTTTTTTTTTTTTTTTAATATTATTTTTGCTTGATTTTCAGGTGAAAATTTTATATGAATTTCGATCATTTTATCATTTTAAATAATACTTCTACACATAAAATTTAGTAAATTTTATTTTCTTTATACACTTTTACGTTTGGTGTTACTTTTATTATTTTGATGTAATATAATTATATGTTTTAGAGAATAGATTAAAATTATTGTTTATAAATTTTGTTATTAATTTGTAAGTTTATTTTTTATTAATATAAATAGCATTTTTCGGTGTTTTACTATTTTTTTATTTTTTATTTTTTATTTTTTTTTTTTGAAATGAAATATTTTTAAAAAAAATTTATAAAACAAATGCATTTTACTAACATCTGCCAAACCTTATGCAAAAAGGCATTCCGTAAGCATTAGTAGCCAACACGAGAATTAACATTTGATAAGAATATTGTGATACTAAAGAATTTTCAATCACTGTGAGATTTCATCTTAGAGATCTATATATATCTGAAAATATCTTATCAATGTGTAAATTACACACCGTTGAGATATCTAATATATACAAACTTATTCAATAGGGATGTAAGTAATATCAAACACAAAATCATTATTGAATATATGAGGAGTTTTTTAAAGAAAAAAATAGTAAATGACACATTTGAAAATTTTATTTCCCTTTTTATCTAAGAAAGCTCATCTAATTTTTTTTTTTTAAAAAATAATATTACTTACCTAAATTTGCATTCCAAAAAAAGTTATCTATAATGTCACATGCATTTTTAGAAATAATTTATCCCTTTGAATTAAAATTCTTTTGTTACTTATCATATTTGTTAGGAGAATATTTGTTCTCTCCTCTTGACTCCATTATTGGTAGACTACAAATAGTTGAATGGATTAATTCCTTATTTACGTCTAAAAAATAAAAAAATAATTAAATAATTATTTATACCGAGCGCGACTATTGATTTATTCTTTATTTTTTCTTGTTTTATTTAGTTGAGAAGGGGTAGGTGAATCATAAATAGATTATGACTTAATTCACCCAAAGTTTTAGACCAAATGAGTTTTTTTTTATTTTGTATGAAGAATCGTGTTAAAAATATAAAAATATTATTTTATATTGAATGTTTAATTTTTTATGATAAGTATTCAATTTATTTTTTTAATGGCATTGGTAGAACAAAAAGTATATTTTCCTTTTTTTTTTTTTTTTCTACAGTTTTGACCAAACACATCTTAGGTCATGGACAACATTAAGTGTGTTCTAAGTTGTATATATTATCGAAAGCCTCTCCCAAAAAGTTCTTCTAACTCTTCTTTATCAACCTTTTCGATTGTCCCAGTCACCGTCCTCAATAATTTTACTTCATTAATAGTTTTTTTTTTTTGTATTTTAATACCCAACATGCTTGAATTTAATACACCACATACATCATATGAATTAACAACATTATATTATTTTAGCAGATAACATACTCTCATACAATACACGCCATAGTTATGAACAAACAGTACATATCTTTTATTACAAGCAACTTGTGTTGTATATAATTGCTGATTTTCCAAATCAGCACCGTAATCATTCCCCTTTAGGAAATAAATAAATTTTGAAAGTCTAATAGGAATAGTACCGTTTATATTTTCCGTTATTCTGTTTAAAGGCCTGTTCAGGAAGACCATCTAATTCTCCGGAAAGGATCAATTGAAACCCTCTAATGGTTTCTGCTAGACCAACATATTCCCCCGGAGGTAAATACTTCGGCTACAAAAAAGGGTTGTGATAAGAAACGCTCAATTTTTCGCGCTCTTGCTACGGTTAAACGATCCTCTTCGGATAATTCGTCCAACCCCAGGATGGCTATAATGTCTTGAAGCTCTTTATAACGTTGTAAGGTATTAAAAATATTCTTATATTTATATAATTTACACCACAAATATCTTTATATTATAAAACACTAATAGAAATATTTTTGTATTTTTTCTTAATTTATACTACATATTAATATAATAATTAATATTAAAAAATCAGTATACAAAAAATTGATTGTATTCTTCTTTAAGTATTTAAGGATTATGCATAAAATAAAACATGTTTGTTTACCCAAAGCAAGAATCCCATTTATCTGAATCCAAAAAAGACTTATGTAGCATGATAACCGAATGAGTCATTTATTCTCTACAAGAAAACTACAACAAAAGCATGCACTAGCTCTAAAGTGATGTGTTGTAAAGCTCAAGTTAGAATCAGAAAAATATTGTACAAAAAAAATTTCAGGCTATCTATACAGTTTATTGAGCCGCATACTAGAGTTTTGGCATATACTTGATGTATTCTTTCGGGGACTAACATCTAAAAATACCTAACTTAGCGACCCCTCATTCTGATCGAATTGAAAAACAAATCTTTATATTTTTATGTACTTTTCTTGATTTCTAAATGTCCGCAACATGAAGAAGTTGTGCACTCAATTCATATGAACCATGAATTAATGAATGAATGAATGATGAAATAATGAAATACACACCTTGTATAGATTATAGATTACACCTTGTATTCATTCCCCACAAATTTCCATCAAATACTTTACCTTCGATCTCCATATCCTCCCCATTGTGCTTCTTCCTCCCTCCGGTTAGGTAGTTACTAGAATAATCAGAATGGTGCCGTGCCCAACACATCCCATCTCCTTCGAACCATATTGCCCTGCATTACGACTAGGACAAACATTACACCATGACTAAAACATCCTTCATGCTATTTATTCTGGTGTTCATGTCGTTTATGTAGAGGTTGTCTGTTAACAGAAACAGGGAATCCCTCAGGTTTATGTTTCGAGTTTTATGTACCTTGCAGCGCGATGAGTAATTGAATTCATGTTCTTCAATCCTTCAGTCTTTTTGTCGAGTCGAGTGGGACTTTAACACACTATTTAGTGTCTCCTTTCTTGCATATCTCCCATCTGGATCATCCCAACTGATAAAAATAAAGTTATGGCCTAAAATATTTCTTAGCAAAGCCAAGAAAGCAACAATACAACATAAATTTTTACAGATGCTTACTGAACCTGACGCCAAATGTTGGGATGAAAATACGTAAGGGACATATTACTACTCCTCCCAGTCCCTTCAATGATTTACATATTAACTCTAAATCAATGCACTACTAATCGAACGCTGTATGTATATTTGCAGGTTATGGAACATATAAATACGCTCAAGAAATCCGTTGGACCGGCAATTCACATTTTACAACCAACACAATCTAAGTTGGTCACAGACAGTGTGATGTCCAGATAAAGACATGATGTTAGTTCTGTAAGGATATTACATGAAAAATTCATTACCTATAAATGTTCCAAGGATATTAAATTAATTGACATCTAGGAGGAAGATTAAGAAGCAGGCGGCAACAAACTTTTGAAAATTCGATCATGACTGGAGTAGAAAAGTTTTGAAAATATAATAGGAAGGCAGTCACTTGTTACTGTTTTCCAAATGTACACATGATTCAAATGCAACATCGCCCTTGCAGGTTTGTGTCAGGAGTCAGATAATATCGTGAGTTGCTCGACAAAGATTAATATGAAACATACTTTGTACTAGTTAACCTAACTGTAACAAATACTTGCAATGTTAGAATCTGAACATTGCAACTAGGAAGATCATAAATAGCTCTAATGCTACCTGCGCACCATAAAGAATGTAATGAAATAGGAGGGCCTTCCCCCGAGTTATACCTTAATAGATTCAATACGGTGTACAAGTCATTTCAAGACAAGTCGCAAACCTTATTATAAAACATCACAACACAATGTTAGATTCAGAACACGCAGCTCATAAACTTCAACAAGATGCAATACTATGATGGAACATCACAAGTAAACCAATATCGAGACCAAAAGGAGGTAAAGAAAACAAGGCCCTCTAAATACATCCATGCGCACATATGTAAAGCTTAATTGTTCTTCACTACTTCATTTCAAGATTCAGAAACCACAGTTCAACCTAGTTCCAAGAACACATAATTTAACTAAGCCGCAAGCTTAATTCAATATGGCAAATACAAGATGCGGACCATTAGCAGAATATACAGTCTGTCATATGGCATAAGTAATAGCCCCATTAGCACATGAAGTAACTAAGCCGCAAAGCTTAGTCAATATGGTAAGTATAAGAAACGGACACTTGGAAGAATATATAATCTGCCATATGGCATAAGAGACAACTCCAGTTACATACGACATAACTTATACGCATAGGTCAGCTCAATATGGTATATATGAGAAACAGACAGTTAGCAGCAGAATATATAGTCTGCCGAATGATACGACACAAATAACTAGTCTGCAAGTTCAATTTGGTAAATATGAGATACGGTCAGCTAGCAGAAAATACAGTCTGCCACATGGCACAAGTAAAAGCTCCAGTACCGCACAATGTAACTTAGTCGTAAAGCCTAATTATATGTGGTAAGTATAAGGTAGCTGACTGTTACTGGAATATATTGTCTGTCATACATAACAGTCCCAGTATCGCAAGACATAACTAGGCGACAAAGCATAGTTCAATAGATTTTCTTCAATTCTCGTGCAAGATAACAATTGCCGTAACTAATATTGTATCATCTACGGCTGCTAGATTGAACAAGTGCATAGCATAACAAAAACAAAAGCAAAAAAAAAAAATAAAATCAGAGCTAAATTTGACAAATGTTAAGACACAAATTACTTGCCTCGAATCAGCTGCCGGCATTACAACTGCAGATGATATTCCTGGCTCCCATCATCTACAAACAGCATGCCTGGAGAACAACAAATACGATATGTAAATAATTCAGGGAATGCTTCAATTTCAAAAATATCAACCCATAGATTTCAACCATTTGCTTGCTGATGGCTTTGAAAAGATTTATCATAAAAACCCATCCTTAAAAACCTTAGAGAGTCACCACAAAAGCATAGAACAAAACCGTCACTCCAAATAAGTTTCAGAAACAGAAGAACTTCTTAAACATATATTGCCAAAACATATTTCATTTCTACATACAGCAGTGTAACATGATGAGAAAAATGTCATCAAGTAGCCATAAAAAATCAAGAAAGCCTATTATAGAATGAATGATTTTACACCCAACATCCCATCACAATGCCAAGCAATCCAACAAATACCCCATCATAAATGCAAATGTATATAGACTTTACAACAAACTAAGAATACAAATAACAAAGACACAAGAAATTTGTAAATGTAGCTGAAGCATGAAGATAGATCCAACATATATGGATAAATTCATTTCCAAAATGGGTTCAAGAAAACAGAATAATTGCTAATACAACATCACATTCCATTTTCCATCCAAATATATCCATTTCCAGAACACCCATACCTACATGAAATAAAAAACCCTAATCATAAGAACACTTCAAGAAACTAAGCAGCAGCTGCCTTCCTTGGTGACTTAGTTGCCTTCGACGGCGATTTAGGCTCCTTATCTCCGCCAGTCTTCTTTGGCAACAGCACCGGGTTTATATTAGGTAGAACACCACCATGAGCAATCGTCACACCATCGAGCAATTTCCCGAGCTCTTCGTCATTCCTCACAGCCAACAGCACATGCCTCGGAATAATCCTGCTCTTCTTATTGTCCCGAGCCGCATTCCCAGCCAATTCCAGAACCTGCAACCCAATTTTGCAAAATTAATCGACAAAGAAAACTCGAAGAAACACCCAAAATCGCAAATCTATGACCGCAGATTTGAAGAAGGTATCCAATTCAGCAAAATACCTCAGCAGCTAAGTATTCGAGAACGGCAGCCATGTAAACCGGTGCGCCGGTGCCGACACGCTGCGCATAACGTCCAACCTTCAAGTAACGGCCGATTCTACCGACGGGGAACTGCAGGCCTGCCCTAGCTGACCGAGAAACAGCCTTCTTCCTTGGACCACCGCCCTTCCTCCCTCCAGCGCCCTTCTTCACTTTCCCTGTAGTCTCCATGAAATGCCGATTTCGGAACTGTGAAATGACGATGGAAAAAAACGAATATTGGGTTTCAAAATCCCTCCCCGATTTGAACGGCGAATTCAGTGGTGCTCAAGGGATCGAGTTGGCGTGTTGTTATATAGTGGTGATCGAGGCATCTGGCTTCGATCTTCATTGCGTTGCGCTGGGTGATTTCCAGCCGTTGGATCTGAGCTCGATCCGCGTGGTGTGTGATCGACCAATGAGAAGTGAGCTTGGGAATTTTGAAGTTTTAGGTTAACGAAATTCGGAATTCACTTTCTCCCGCCTCTTATTTCACAACTTTCCCCCCAAAAGGAAATTTCTAATTTTGGGGAAATCAAACCAAATGGGCAGACAATAGTTTTAAATAATATGTTATTTATTTATTAAGAATATCTATAATTTGATTTTTTTTTTAATTAAGTAAATAAAATGATAAAATAATTTTAGAAATTTCAGGAATAATAGAAAGTTATATTAATCCGATTTAAGATGTGTTATCATAATTCAATTAAATTACAAGTATATATATTGTAGGGTAAAATACATTTTTAGTCATTTTTATTCACCAAGGGACTGTTTGGTTTATGGATTTTTTTGGTGGGATTTAGATTTTACAGTAGAATTTATATGTGATGAGATTTATTATATTTAGAATTTAGAATTTCATACAATGTTTGGTTGGTAAAATGGTGGGATTTATATTTCTCACATCTTGTTTGTTTTTCGTATGAGTTGAATGATTTGGATTTTTTATATTCTAAATAACATAATTATCCTCCTATAAATTTTATTTATTTTAATAAATTAAATATCTAATTTATTATTAATATAAATTGAAAAGATATCAATAATTTTATAGGATGACAAATGACAATATATTTGCGTAAAGACCCGACCTATTTATTTGAAGTTGAGTCCAATTATTTGAGTATTAGGCGTGAATTCGGGTCATGTTCGGGGTAATATAATAATAATATATCAACTATATATATGAAAAAATAATTTCGAATAATATAATTATATTAAAAATATTTGTTGAGTTTAACGTATTCATTATTTTATTATACTATTTTTCTAATAAAATACATAAGTTTTAATATACATTGAATCCAGTACATGTGTAATTTTAAATTAAAATTTATGAATTGTAAAAAAATGAATTTTTCGGATCCATCAAGTCTTTCCGGATATAGCCTCGATCGGATCTAGTATAATCGGATCCAATTTGAGTCTCGGATCTAACAATATATTTGGAATAAATATCAGTTCCGATTAAACCCGACTCATTGTGGTCCATATAATTTTATAATTCAAATAAAATTTATAATAAATAATAATTTTAACCAATGAATTTATTAATTTATTTCAAAAAATATTGTACCATAAAAAATAATATAAATTTAATTAAATATATAATTAAAATAATAATTAATTTTAAAATTATTTAATTTTTTATATAAATATAATACTATTATTTTTTTATAAGATGGTATAAATGTAAAAATTAAAATTTCAAAAATGAGATTTAAAAGTAACAAGGTACCCATTACAAAAAAAATTCTTTTTTCAAATCTCATCACTTTAAATTCCACCATTTTTTTTTTAACCAACATGAATTTAATAGGATTTTAAAATTCAAATTCCATGAAATCTCATTAAATCCTTGAATCAAACAGCCACTAAGTTATTCATTTTAGCCCCTTTAGTTTTAAAATATAATTTTGATTTTTTTTGTTTGTCAAATTTAGTCACTGTGTTTTAAAAAGTCAATTTCGATCTCTTATTTATTTAATAGTTTAATTTTATTTTTTAATTATTATTTTCTTTAAAAATTAATAAATATTATTTTTACTCCCTTCGTAATCAAAACATATAATCATTATTATTTTGTTTTTTGTTTAAATATATGATTATATTCATTTTTAATTAAAAATCATTTGTTTTTTTTTATTATTACAAAAAATAAAAAAATACACACCACGTTAAAGTTTATATCAAAAAGTTCGGACTATTTTTTATGACAAGGGTAATGTATAATTTTCATCCAAAAGTTTTATTATTATTTATTATTTAAATTAATTTATAAAAATATGATAGTGATATATATTTTTTGTTGATAAATACTATAAAAAGAAAATTAATTATATTTTTTTGTCTTAATTACTATTTTTTTTGTCCACATATAAAGTAAATATTTATTTTTGACACAGTGTTTAAGAGATAGTAGTATTTTAATTATAATAGTTAATTAAAAGTAGTGTAATGACATTTTTGTCCTTACTTTTTGTATAAAAGTAATAATGTGATGTGACGTAAAGTAAAGATATTTATGAAAAAAGTGAGATATTTAATAAAATATTTACTTGTAATTGAACGTCCAAAAATATAAATATGTATACTTTCTAGTCAGACGGATGAAATATATATTTTTTGTTAATAAAAACATGATAATGATATATATTTTTTTGTTGATATTGAGTGTTAGATACATTCTAACGATTTTTTATTTAAATATTATTTTGATATAATATTTTGTGAGATAAATTAATACTATATTTTTATTAAAAACCATTCAAATTGTATAGTAATGTTTTTAATTTAAAACTAAAAAAAGGGTAATACTATATAAAATTAAAAAACAACCAAAACATATTAAATAATATAAATCATAAATCAAGTCTCACAAATTTATATCTCAATCCATATTCAAACTTAAAATAGATTGAAAACAACTATTAATAGTTTATATTAAATAAAAATAAATTTTTTTTAAAAAAGAATCACATCTATGAACAAGAAAAAACAAAAAATAATAATAATTTATTGTCAATGAAAATATTAAATAATACAAATAATAAATTCAAACATAAGTTCAATTAAAAAATAACTACTCATGATATATATTAAATTAAAAAAATAAATATGAAACGAATTCATGTATATTGCCGTTGAAATTAATTTAAAATGAGATGTTAATTTGAATTTTTGCTTAGATAATATTTTAATTTAATACTTTGTAAGAAATAATAATTTTTTTTTATTAAAAACTGTACAAATAAATAATGTTGATTTTAATTTACAATCACAAAAAAAAAAAACAAAAAAAACAAAAAAACACACACAAACAAACTCAAATTTCACAAATTTTATATTTTAATCTAAATTCAAATATAATCTAAAGTAAACACAACTATCACATTCTATATTAAGTTAAAATTCAAAATAAATTTAGAATAAATTTATGTATATCGGTAGAAAAAAATATTTATCTTTTCATCGATGTAAATATCAATCAATAAAAACAACAAATCAAATCTCAAGAAATTTATGTCATAATCTAAATTCACATCAAAACTATATTAAAAACAATTAGTCACAATTTATATTAAATTGAAAATCAAAATAAATTTGGAATAAAATCATATTTATTGGTAGAAAAAAATATTATTTTTTTTGTTGATATAGAATGTTAGTTAATGGAAATATAAATAAATCTCATAAAATATATATTTCAATTTAAACTCAACCATAATGTAGGAGAACTTTGAAAAAAAAAAAAATCTTTTTGTTATTTATTTATTTCGCTGATAAAATATATTATATACATTTGCAAAAGTCGTCATTTACGTCATCAGGTCACATGCGACGGCTATTCCTACGCACGGTAGGAGGTAGTGTTGTAACTAAATCAATAATTTTGTTCGAGTCAGTATTCGATTTGAATTTTGATATTTGTATTCGAAGTTTTATGATTCAAATTCAAATAAAAATATTCATTTCGATTTGAATATGAATTAAACACAAATATACATTTTTAGTATTTGATTTGATAATAAAAAAAATGTATAGATAGTATAAAATATAATATACACATATATATGTATTTTCCAATAAAAATAAACTAAACTAAATGTAATAATAATATTCCCTCTGTCCCAGAATTATGTTCTGGATTGTGTTCGGCACGAGATATAGGGAATATTGATATTATATTAGTAGTGAGTAAAAAGTACATGTAAAAGACTTTTTTGCCCTTGTGAATGTATTAGTGTAAAAAGTAGTGGCAATTGTGTAATAATAATGAAAAAAATAATTGTAGTTTTATAGTGATATGAAAATAAGACTATTGTTTTGGGACGGATAAAAATAGTAAACAAGACTATGTATTGGGACGGGGAAGTAATACTTTTGAATTTTACATAAATAAGTATAATATGATTAAAACTACACTTATACAATGATATTTTTAATTATGTTAAAAAAATGAGTCTTTTTTGTCAATGTGAAAAAAATAAAAAATATATATATGTATATTTTTTATCAAGTTTTTTTAATGTTATTATTTTAAAAAAATTAATTAAAAGAAGTTTGAATCGAACAACCTCGAATCGAATTCAATAAACAAAAAAATAAAATAAAAATCACATATTGAATAAAATATTTGTATAATATTGAAATCGAATCAAATAATGTGAAAATTATTTCAAATCAAATACGAATATATTTTTAAGATCCAGAACAAATCAAATATTGAATTTAATAGTTGAATATTTTTTTGAAACGAAACGAGTGCAGTATTCGATTTGATTTGATTCGTCTACAACCCTAGTAGGAGGAAATAAATGACGATTTTTGCAAATTTGTAGATATATTTTGTTAGCAAGATAAATAAAAGACAAAAGTAATAATTGAATATACGTAAATAATATGTTTTACAATTTTTCCACAATATAGATTTAAAATAACTATTTACAGTATATAATTGAAATCAAAATAAAAATTGACGAATTTATATCAAAATAAAATTTGAGGAATTTATGTTTATTAGCGAGAAAGAAATAAATTATTGATCTTCTTGTTGTAGTATGCAGTGCAATAATAATAAAAAAATCAAACACTACAAAAAAATACAATAATAAAATAAAAATAAATATATAGGGTGTGTTGTTATATCAAATTTCACAAAAACTTTATTATTTATTAGAAAAATTCAAAAATATTAAATCCAGCATCTATTTTTCAATTTATATTATACTGAAATTTAATATTATATTTAAAATATTACATTAATACCTATTTATATCAC